ACTGGATGATGAATATACTCCACGACCTTCACAACCCAAGGCACCAGAACAAGCCTTGAAGGGATGAATTTGACTTGTTTTGCGTTACCTGCCGTGTGAACCCCAATCTGGCATGAGTATCTACATTAGCTGCAGAAGTATATGTGTGCTTTTTTGATAACGTTAATTTTAACTAGCGATAAGAAGCGATTTTCCTGTGCTTCCGTGAGCAGAGCACCTAAGGCTGAGACTGGTCACACTCTGATCCACCAGTCAAGTGTGAGTATAGTGAATATAAACTGAGAAAGGAAAAGAGCACAAAGCCTGTTGTTTCTGTCTTGCACTGTAAATGCAGACATTTACACATCTATACACTGTGCTGTTCTGTTAACCTTTTGCTCAAACACGCACGCTCAGCAAGTCAGGGGAAATGTAATCACCCAGTGGTATTTCGCACAATGGTAACCTTTAAACCATACAGCTAATCAGTAGTCCACAGAGAGCCACTTGGTCAATTCTACGTAAAGTAAAGACAAAACAGCACTGAGAGCATGTATGTGCACCAGAGAACAAACCATTTAGTCCATTTCCACTGCCATAAAAACACAACAGTGCAAAAATAGCACATAGTGGGCAACGGGAAGCCAGTCTGGCCAGTAGTGTGGGTCTTTGTATATAATAGAATGATAATTGCAATAATATTATTATTATTATTATTATTAACAATAATAAATATTGAAATCATGTAATATTGAGCATGTAATCAGGCTTTCACATTGGCTAGAGGAACACACCCATATAGGATTTCTGGGCCATTGCTGATCCAGTATTTTTATACACATTTTGATAAGTCAGTACACATACACTGATAAAACATAGAAACTGAAGCTTCACCTCCCTGATTAACTTCCAACATTAAGACAAAATATAACATTTGTTTTTAGAGGGTTTCAGATGAAGTAAATGAATAAAGTATAGATATTTAAGCACAGTGGATCTAAATGTTCTCTTCTTCCAGAGTAAAATAAATACATCATCAAGTATTGATTTAAATTAGCAGTCAAGATCTGCATCATGTGCAGATCTTAAAATTGTATTTATTTCTTTGTATTATTATTATTATTATTATTATCATTAATATTATTATTATTATTATGTTCCAATATCAGTATGATTTCATATTCATTGTGCATTGCTAGTTGGTGATACAGTTGAAATACACAAAAGCACAAGCATGTGACTAGCTGGGTGTTCAGAAAATGAGATTGTTATGAAATATTGAAAACAGCCATAATCACCAGGTAAGAAAAAAATATTCAGTTCACAATGAATATATATATATATATATATATATATATATATATATATATATATATATATATATATATGTTTTCTTCTTCGTTAAGTGTACACTGTCTGGATCAGATGAATTTGTGTTAGGTAAGGGAGGGGCAGTATGTTAAATGCAGGTTGGAACTAAACTCTGAATAAAGGTAGTTTTCTAGGACCGGAGCTGAAGACCATTGCTCTACAGGGAACACAATTCTGTGCATTTTAAAGCACAATTACTGTTTATTGACTGTATTTAACATATTCAGGTGGTGAAAACAAAACATAAAATTATAGCACGTTATTATCATTTATCCTTTATTTTTTATATGTTAAGCTAAGCAAATAAATAGAAATTGTGCACTAAAATTAGCAGAAAAATGTCATATATAACTTTCCTGAAGAGGATGTGTTAACCTGTTTGGACTTTGGACTGGAAAAACGTCATTTTCCTGGAGTTTTTTCAAACTTTTGCTTGCAACTGTACTTTTTTTAATTTACTGATTTTTTTAATAGTGTAAGAAGTGAGACACTGCTGAATGTTCATATTGGTCGGGCTGTTAAGCCGATGTGAATTCAGCTGTAGTGAGCTGGTGAAGGGTTTCAGATTCTAGACCTGGAGTACTTTGGCTCTACAGAGTTTAACGTTTTATGTAACTTACTGTAGTTAACTCATCAAGTTTTCCATTATAAACACAAGATGGCGACATTTGTTTAGTTAATTGAAATGCAGTGTGTTTAGACACAGCCTCCTTCTCTCTTTCTCTTTCTGTCACAAACAAACACTCACGCACACAAGCACACACGCTCTTAACAGATACATGGGGAAGTAGATATCAGGGTGAGACGAGCCCTTTTATGTCAGCACAGAAGAGAGTACGTTGTGTCTTACGCTAGAACAATGTGGAAGCATTTTAGATTCAGTTTGTCTCCACGTTCTGAAGATGAAGAGGTTTTCACCTTCAACACATCACCAAAGGTACTCCTGTGTGCTTGTCTGCATCTGCCTTTTACCTCTAAGGCTTCATGTGTGTGGATGAGCTTATGCAAATCTTGTGTACATTTGTGTGCATGTCCGGGCAGTACTACAAACTTTCTAAACAAGGTCTAAAATTGTGGTTAGTGTGCATGAATAGCGTGACAACTCAAATGTATATATCCAGCTTGTCCGTGTGTCAATGTGACATAATCTGTCAAATAACTCTTGACTATCCAACTACATTAAATTAAAATCACTATCTTTCCTCATAGAAAGCTCTCTTCTTGCCATGTGTAAGTATTGATATATATTGTCCTGATGAACTTAGACCACATTTGCACCTAATGTTGATGCAAATTAGAAATTTCTTAGATGAACATTATAAGATTAAGTAGATGATGAAATTTTCTGAAATCTTTTTCATCCCAGGAAATGATATTTCTGTTCATTTTCATAAAATAAATATTAGCAAATGTGCATTTGATTGTTGCATGTGATATTAGGTTCCTGTATGAATATAAAAAAAACTTTTATTGTGTGCGCACTTTAGAAAGTAAGAGAAAAGAAGACAGAAACTAAATCGGAAATGTAGTGGTTTCACACTGTTTATCTACTTTGTACATCTGTGTGTGAGCTTTGTACAGAAGTGCGCTGAATTTTAGGAACTTGATATGTTATGCAATTACCGGTGCCGTTACGTGCACACCAGTGGTGTAGGCAGAATTTCATTTCAGGAAGGGCCCGGTTACAGCTTGGGTGGGGTGGGGGCAGCTAGGAAGCATTATGCCCCACGGACATTGCTAAAGTGAAGCTGACAGCCACCAAATAGCCTGCTTCATTGGAGCTACCATAAGACAGTGCAGGATTGCTGACCTTGCACTGAACAGCCTAATGTTACCACTGCGGGCCGCGGCTAATTAACCTCCTACCTTTTGCAACAGTGGACGTGGATGATAGAGGTCTGCCCTCCCACGGGGACCCAGCACAATATCTTGCAGTGCAGGACTAATTTTCAGTGTTGCGCGCGGGAGCAGGTGGGAAACCAGCCCACTGCAGGCAGGAGTGGGCTGAAGCACGCATGAAGAAAATTCCTGCAAATGAATGAATAGCCTGTATAAAGTAGAATGATTTCATTAAATCATACGTATAAACAATATAAAGGATAACAGTAAAACAGTTCAAATGAATAAAGTCATTTTGAAGAGTTGCAAAGCAACCGATCACATGAACAACAAATTCTCGTAGCTGACAGAGATGGCGAAGCCTTCAGTGCAGCGGCCACAACTGCCAAGTCCAGTAAAAGACCAAAAATAACCGTTCTCTGGTTTAATTCATGATTTGTGTTTACTGGGAATAAATGGCATATGTTGAGTTTACTTCACAGTGAGGCTGATGACCATGACTGCAGTGTTATTTCCGCAGAGAACAGTATATTATGAATAATAGTGTATTGTGAATAAGCACTATTCACACAATACACTATGTCAAATGTTGGATGACAGTTTGCCTTGACCGGAACTGCGTAGGCAGAAGCGAGCCAAAACGTTTTGGTTGCGGGAGCGGGACTGATTTTTTGGGGGAGCAGGATGAAATTGTGCAGGAGCGGGACTGAAAAACAGTTTTTTGTTGTTTATCTGCAGTATTTTATTTATTTATTTATTTATTTATTTTTACCACAGTCAGATGTACTGCTTACCTAGCTCGCTATAGCTTGGTAAGTAGCCTACTCTAGGAATGAGCACAGTTCAGCTAAGTTCCCAGAAGCAGACGAGCAGATTAATGCTATGTTTACATGTTGCCATTGAGGAAAAAGTGCTGTATGCAGAATGGAATGAATGCTCCATATCCTACTTTATTTGTGTTTCTTGTGGTCCACTTATAATATTTGTGCGGTTTTCTGTACCACAAATGGTCATAATTAATTTTTTATGACCATCTTGCAACCTGTTGGCTTAAACAGATTAAATTAAACAGGCTGTTTTTGTGTTGCTGTGCCTTTAAGACTTGATATAAGATGACGGACCTCTGTTCTCATTGGCTGCTCTGATAAATGCCGTAAATGTAAAATGTAAATGTATTTTGCCTCATTCAAAAAGCAATTCAAGCTGAAACACTCTTCTGAACTTCAATATGAGTGGGAGGGGCTAAACTCCTGTGAGCTGAATAGGTGGACAGATGCAGATGAGTTGGTTCTTGTGACAAAACACACCATCAATTTCAAATGGGCTGTTTTTGCGTATATGCAGTTTCCATATATGCAATAGTGAATGGTACATTTTGAAGTTCTATTATTTAAACTGTGACATTACATGACTGATGGCTGCATGGAGCCAGAACAAATTGCCATGGTGGGAGCATCCGGTAAAAAAATTGGTGATTAGTGCTTTGGTGGTTACTTTTATTTTTTCAGCCACACTGTCAGCCACCACCCCACCCCCATGGGAGCTAATGTCCTGGTGCATACATACCACACACTTTCTCCTTAAGAGTTACACACACACACATGCTCACTAACATTTTTTATGAACTCTTTCAAAACCTTTCGACCTCTTGTGTACAGGACTTCCTTTTTCCATTTCCTGTGTTTTTCCTGTAATTTCTATGGTGAAATGCATCCTTGAGTAGAGCTATCTGTTCATTCAAATATATCACTGAATTCAAGATTTTGTATGTGTGTGTGTTTATGTGTCTGTGGTCCTTGTCTCCTGGACAGGGACGACCTGACTCACCTGTCTACACTAACCTGCAGGACTTGAAGATCTCTCAGTCGCCTCAGCCCCCGCTGCCCTCGTCCTCCCCTCTTAACACGCATGGAGAGTGGGAGACACACAAAGATCAGAATGGCCGGCACTTCTACTACAACCGCGCGACCCAGGAGAGGACGTGGAAACCCCCACGGGCACGCGACAGCAGAAAGGAGGAGAGGCACGACACTGCAAGTACAGAGACAGAGGTACTGTATGTATAGGGTGTATAATTTCCAACTTCGCAACAATTCAGTTCGATTATGATTCTTTAAAAAACAGTTAGGTACATGAATTCTCAGGATTTCACCGTGAATGAGTTTGATTATTTTGGTGTAAGTTTTAATTATTTAAAGAATAAACCGAATGCACAAATACGGCTAGAAGGACTGTTCACATAGCGACTGTTCCAAATTTAATTCAGTTGAATTGCCACCTTCAGATCGATGGATCTTTACTCCCCTAATACACTGCCAGGTCTATAAATATGGGAATCGGGGCTAAAATAAACTCAGCTTAAGTACTAGACACCACAGTACTAGTCAGTTGATCTGAGTGGTTTGGGATGGAGAAAATTCAAGTGTTGACATGGCCAGGATAACTAGATTGAAATATTTCTGAATCCCTTTGAGGGGACTGTGTTAGGAAATATGTGGAGAAGAAAAATCCATCCAAGATGGATGCAGGGCTATTAAAGTTTTGAAAGGTTTGACAGTTATAATTTCTATTTAGTTTTTCAGTTTAGTTTTTGATATCAGGTTAGTTTCAATTTGTTTTAAGGGTGCATTAATTGTTTTAGTTGTGTTTTTCTGAAAAGTAATAGCAATAGTTAAGTTTTTATTCAGTTTTAGGTTTTGGTTTTATGATGAACCTTTATTCCAACTCGGAAGTACATTAAAGGGGACCCTCAAAACCAACAAGATTAAATGAACAAAGGAAAATTAATAAATAAATAAATAAAAGCTCTGATAAGAAATTGAGATAAAATAGCAATGAAATATCTAATTTAAACAAATAAAAAGTAAGTAAAATAACTAAGATAATAGACAATAATAAAAAATAGACAAAAACATCTTTACAAATAAAACTATTCAATATAATAGTCAAATAATACAGTTGCATGCTCAGTGGAGATGGTTAGAAATTAGAAGATTAAAATGGTTGAGTGACACCAGCGAGCAGAGCTTTAGAGTTTCCTGTAATGTATTCCAGTTTGCTGGTGCACTGTAGATAAAAGCAGAGTTTTCCAGTTCGCTCAAAAGTCTAGGAAGATTCTGATTCAGATCCAGAGTCTGATAAATACCATTACATGCCTAGATCATAGATGTGATATAAGATGGCGTACGGCCTGAGAGCACCTAAGAAATAAAAATAAACCTATGAGTTCCTATGAGTCATGCAGCTAGAGAGGACCATCCAACAGTCGGCCACCGATGGCCAGCAGCGTGCTGTGTCAGAGCCCTTACAGAGCACTCTTAAACTATATATTTTTATTGTTTTATTACTTTTCGGGATAAAACACAATTTTGGGCTCCATCCACACACATGTAAACATGCATATGCACCCATGCATGCACAGCACACAGACATTCTAGGAGCTCTAATCCCCTGAATGAAATGCATGATGGGATAGCTTACTGACCTTAAATCACCCTGGGTCTTGTTATCTTCCTTTGCCTTTCTCTGAGTCTTATTTTGCAGTATGCATGTGAAGCAGTTTGGGTGATGTTTTACTGGTATGGGTATTGTGTACTAATACACCGCTGTTGGTGATGGAACTAATAAGTATTTCACTTTAATGATTGCCTCCTGTATCCTCCTATATCCTCTCATTCCTTTCATTTTTTCCTTTTTTTCTCCCTCTTTTTTCCTTGTTTTTCCTGCCTGCCTGTGATTGCCTGGGTGAAGGTTTTTTCGTCGGAGGAAAACTGTCTGAGTAGCCAGTCAGATAGCCAATATGGCTCGCCCCCTAGAGGCTGGTCTGAAGAGCTTGATGAGTATGGGCACACGCTGTATGTGTGTGACCATACTAATGAGAAGGTATACACCCGCTGACACAAAGACACTACAACGTTTATTCTAATGAAAAAAATATATGTAGATACCCACACACACAAACACACACGCTCCCACGAAATACACAGATGCTTGAGGCTATACTAATGAGAACTTACAGTACTGTGCAAAAGTCTGAAACCACTCTTCATTTACTTAATTTTCACTCAAAAAAATACAGTTAATAGCGAAGGATTTAGGCACCGGAGCAAATCCTTTAAAACCATTTATCTTGGCAGATAAAGATTTTTTCTTTTACTTTTAGAAAACACTGTGCAATATTTTATAATAAATATAGAAAAATATGAAAACAGAAAAAATAACAAGAATTTCTTTTTTTTTTAAAGAAATGATATGTTGGTCAGAATTCTCCTTGATGCTTTCGGTCATCATGTAACATTGTTACATTTCATCAGCAGTGCTCTCAGTTTAACATGGTGAAGTACTGATTAGCCAAACCAGGTGTTGGATGTTAACAACAGTTAATACTGGGCAGCCAGGATGAGAAGTAAGGAACCAGTTAAATTAACACGTTGACACTATTAAATCACTAAACTATAATACTATTATATTAATGTTATTTGTATTTATTATAATAAGTGTTTTTCTGAGCAAGTACATGCCTACTGCTCAGATAAATAGCCTGTGAAATACAGTTTTCTCAGGAGCTTGCATTAGTGAATGCATGCTTCCTAAATACTGAGAAAAGAATGTCTAAAAGAATGTCTAACAAATAGCCTTTTTTTCATTTCTCTTCTTTTTTTCCTGTTTTGCTTGTCTTAGAATAATATTGTAAGCATTAATCAGACAGAAACCAGATTTTCAGAAAGGAAGCTTAATATTTATATACATATACGTATTTTTTCTACTCTTCCAAAACAATCTATCATTCAGTACTGCTCAAACTGAAAGTCAGTATTATGTGACACCTACAGCGACCGGCCACTTCAAGTACACCTCCATGTATCTACACTCTTTGGCCATTTTATCAGCTCCACTTAACATATGGGTGCCTTTTAGTTCTACATTTACAGACTGTAGTCCATTTGTGGCTCTGCATACTTTGTAAGCCCCTCTTTACCCCATTCAACAGTGGCCAGGACCCCACAGGACCACCGCAGATAACACTGAAGTGGTGGTGGCATGCTAGTGCAAATTGTGTGCTGCCTCTGTGTCACTGCTGGACTGAGAATAGTCCACCAACCAGAATATCTAGCCAACAGCATTCTGTGGTCAGCGTCTTTTGACCACTAATGAAAGACTAGAGCACATGTGTCAGGCTCCTGTCCTTGCTGGCCAAAACACTGCAGATTTCAGCACACTGCCTTATTAAACACACCTGATTCAGCTAATTAGCAAGGCCTTCATGAACTGAGTTCAGAGCGTTAGATGAGGGTAAACGCTAATCTCTGCAGCACTTTGGCCCGGAAGTTCCTGAGATTGGCAGGCCTGGACTAGAAGATGACTAACATAAGTGCAGCAACAGATGAGCTATTATCTCTGACTTTACATCTACAAAATGGACCAACAAGGTAGGTGTGTCTAATAGAGTGGACAGTAAGTGGACAGAGTGTTTAAAAAACACAGCAACACTACTGTGTCTGATACACTCAAACCAGCGCAACACCAATAACATGCTACTGCAGTGCTAAGAATGATCCATCACCCAAATAATACCTGCTCTGTGGAGGTCCTGACCATTGAAGAACAGGGTGAAAGGGGGCCAACAAGGATGCAGGGAAACAAGTGAACTGTAGTCTGTAACTGTAGAACTACAAAGTGCACCTGTGTGGGAAGTGGACTTGATTAAAATGGACAAAGATTGTAGAAACAAAGAGGCATACTTAATGAAGTGGCTGATCAGTGAATCCGATATATTCTTTGCCTGCTAATTTTGACCAGTATAGATGACTTGTGGTATTATTGGTGAAAATATTGCCTGTAATCGTCAGGATTCAAACTCTCATTCTTGCAACAGTAGAGAGAAACCTTAAACAGTTGTGCTAGTAGAGAACTCAGTAAAACTCACCTTCTGTTTAACTACATCACGGCAATACAGGCTGATATTAATGGTAGCGAAAATGAGAAATTGTGATAAAACACTGTCTTTTCCTCTTACACTCCTGTGCCAGTCAGTGCAGATACATTTAAACAGATTGAGCAGCCCCTTAAAATCAGTATCAGTATCTAACACGAATTTCCATTGTGGTCAGGACCTAACACGTATACCAGTATAGGTGAAATATCAACCAGCACTAGGTTCTTATGGCAAACTTAGAAATTGGTTTTCTTACAGATGCTGTAATATATGGTGAGAACAAATGCCAAAATTTGGTTGAGGAAGATGAATCCACTTTCAGCCAAACAGATACTGGTGTGCGGTAGCTAGAATGCTGTGGTGTGCTTGGCAGAACATTGATGTCTGTTTATATACGTGTGTGTGTGTGTGTAGTGGATTAAACACACGGACGAACAGGGTCGGCCGTATTACTACAGTGCAGACGGCTCCAGATCTGAGTGGGAACTTCCAAAAGTCAATCTCAGAACACAAGTAAGTGTGCGCTAGTGTTTGAATGAGAGTGCTTTGGATCGGTTTTTATTTATTATATTTTTTATAGAATTTTATGTAATTGTGCTTGCTTATACCAAGGTGGGCCTCACAGTGTGATCTCAAAGAACATTAATGAGTGTGTAACAAGCTCATGAATCACTGGTCAAATAAAAATGTGAAGACTACATAAGTTAATGCTAGTACAATGCCACTTCTTTTCCAACACTGAAACCTACTAGCTGATTTGGTTACCAATCTTCTGTTTTTTTTTCTTTTTAAAACTATAGTGCTTTACAATGAGGAATGTTTAATTGAAGAAGTTTACTTAAATTGACCCCATCCCTGCATCCAATGAGAGAACATATTTTTATAATATGTAAATTGTAATAATTTCTCCTTTTTTAAATGCGATTTTGAAGTGGTTTAGTACAACCCCAAAAAAGAAAAAAGTTGATAGAGTATAGACAATGCAAATAAAAGAGCTGTGATTTCTAAACATTACTTTGACTTGTATTTCATTGCAGTCAGTATGAACACAATGTATTTAATGTTTTACAATATACATTTGTTCCTGCCATTCAGGCCTGCAACACATTCAAAAAAAAAAAAAGTTAGGATGGGGACCATTTAGGGCTAATAATGAGGTACAATAATTAATTATGATGTGATTTGAAACAAGTGATGCCAACAGATGATTGTATTCATGATTTGGTACAAAAGTAGCATCCACGAAAGGCCTAGTCCAACAAATGCGTGAGGCTAGTGTTTATATTAATATTAAAATTCATGAGGTAAAACATCAGATGATGTGCTGTTGTATTGTTTTCAATGTAATACAGGTCAAAAGGAATTTACAAATCATTTCAGTTTTATTATTAATTTCAGTGTTAATTTTAACATACCGTCCCAACAATTTCTGATTTCAGGGTGTAACTAAATATAATGTAATGTCATAAAATGCATTTTTAAAAAGCTCAATTTTCAGTCTACCTTCCTCATTTGCTTTGTCTTTTTGGCCTTTTGCCACAAACATTGGACTTTAGCCACCCAGGTCAAGTTTGTGCATTCCTACTTTAAAATAAAGGAACTGAACTAGTACAATACATAGCTAGCAACTCATTGTGGTTATGTTCACATTAGGTAACATGTGGCTACTGGTATCACAGGACCTAGTTAACTTCACCTTACGTTATGTTGTGCTACAAGCAATTGTTTCTACAGAATTAGATTTGCTCCTTTATTTCCTCTGACACTGTGTTTCTGCATCCAGCATTTTTTTTTTGCTGCTAGCAGCTGATGCTGATACTGTGAATTGGATTAGTGGTTCTCTAAAAAGTGCAATCATGTCAGTAAGAAATTCAGGAGTAATACTCTGTACTAGATCAGTGACATGATCATGTTTGGTGCTTTATTATTTAAAAAAAAAACAGAGTCATATCTATTAAGCAATGCTGGTATAGCTATGTGGTTGTGTAATGTCATGTTTTCTCGCTGCCTCTCCCTGGTTTAGTCAAATCCCTCTGCCTTGATGCCAAAAACTGGAGATGCGCCCAAAACGCGCAGCTTGGACCGGAGGCTGCCACCCCCCATAGTGCTGGAATGGAGGCATAGCACATGCATACTGGAGGCTAATGACAAAGTGTGTACACATGCACATATTCACTTAGTAATATACAAAATGAGGACATGTACATTACTGAATACATTGAAAGTCAGTCTGTTGACGTGATAGAAATGGTCATAATGTATCCAACAACCTGTCTTGCAATTGAAAGTGACCGTGGAAAATGTTACTAATTGTTAATACAAGGATAAAACTAATAACCAATAAAACTGATACACAGTTTTAGCTTTTCAATTATTGATTGAAAAATTATGTGTAAGCATAAATGTCGTTGTTGTCAAGCTCTTGTGAAATTGCTAAATTAGCACTAAAACAAATATATCCAGCACATGACTGGCTACCACTATTACCATTAGCTAGCTAATTCAAAGTCAACACATCTTTGAACTGCTACAGTACATACAACTTGTTAGGTTGCTTTGCTTTTTGAAACCATCCAAGATGAACTTTTTTTTTTCATTCTCATTCATCAGTCACTTAACCTTCTTCCTGCAGATCTCTCGGCCCAGTGCTCACAATGGCAAGGCAAATACAGTATGTATGCGTATACGATCGTTAGAGTCAAATCTGTAGTAGAGGACCAACACCTGTGTATTCATACTCTGGTTATTCCATGTCAGATCGCTTTGAAGAATGAAGATAGTTTAAGATGATGCCAAGTTTGAATATTTCCTTCAAAAAAATGAACATTTGTGTCATCCAAATCTACATTTGTAACAGCCTGAGTGATCTTTACCTGGAATGACCTGCTCTCAAAAGAGGTTGAAATTTTTACAATCCTGTCATGAACTGTGCTAGTGTTAACTGTAGTTTTTACATAGTGTACATATTTGCTTATGTTTGATCAAAGTTAAAACAGAAGTCCATCAAAAACCGGCGAATCTTCTCCCTGCGCAAAGTCTCCATCCGCTCTCATCCCTATAGGCCACAAGTCAGTGCTACCCCTTCTACAGCAGCTAATCAAATCCTACAGCAATCACAGCTCTTAATCTCTCTGACCAATCACATCAAATCGCAGAAACCACGGTTGCTTATGCCTGCAGCCAATGACTGCTTGTTGAAAAGGTCTCATGATCATAATGCACAAAAAAATACTTGTCTTTTTCTCCTTAGATGATGAACTTAGTCTGGGTCTTGTCCTTCTACCTCAGTCTTATCCTTTTTGCATTTAATCCAAATCAGTCAAAAACAAAATCGGAGAACTAGGGAAAGAGATTTTGGTAGCCTAGCAGTCAGAGAACTTGACTGTAACATAGGATGCCATGTTTTTAATTCTGTCTGATAAATACTGCCATTGTGTTGTTGAGCAAGGCATTTAACCCCAGTTAATTGAAGCTGGGTAATATTAGCACTTTTAGGGCTTTAGGAAAGTAATTAAATCCAAGAATCAGAGTGTAAAATCCAGATCAAGACTGAACTACTGTTGAAGAACTCCATTAACTGTGACTTCAACCTCCTGCAGAAAAAACAAGCAAATGTGGGAAAGTGTCTGTCAAACAAATCTGCAGAAAGGTGTCAAAACAGAACCAGCTGTCTTTGAAGCATTTGAACACTTATCACCTTTGCTTTGACATTTTTATGAATAAAAATTTCCAGAGTTTTTATGCAACACTTGGTGCTGGTGTGCAACTTGTATTCAACAAATTTCTTATTTTTCAAAACTCCAGGTTAAAGGTAGACCAATTTTTAAACAGTGAAAGTGTGAGAGCTTGATTTTTGGTCACTTTCTCCATCTAACTACAATAAAATTGTGGCAACCTGTTTATTTATTGATAGACTGATTAATGTATTGACTGACCAGTTGACTGACTGATTGAAAAATTGATTACTAGCACTTTTTCTTTCCTGATTGTCTCTCTGTTGGACAACTTTAAAGATACACTCTGTGATTTCAGAAAAATAGTGTTGGGACCATGTATGTTAGTTTTCTGTAAAACAAAAGTTGGAGGTACACTGCTGAGCCAAAACATGACCACTCACAGATGAAGTGAATAACGCTGATAACATTGATAAGCAAACAATCGGTTCTTGTAAAGCAGTGGAAGAAGGTCGTCTGGTTCAATGATTCCTGTTTTCTATTATATCGGGTGGACAGCCGAGTATGTGAGCGTCGTTTACCTGGGGAAGAGATGGCACCAGGATGCACTGTGGGAAGAACACAAGCCGGTGCAGGGAGTGTGATGCTCTGAGCAATGTTCTGCTGGGAGACCATGGCTCCAGGCATTCATGTGGACGTCAGTTTTTTACACAAGCCATTGCTGCAGACCAGTTACACCGCTTCATTGTAATGATGTTCACCGACGGCAGTGGCCTCTTTCAGCAGAATAGTGTGCCCCGCCACACTGCACACATTGTTCAGGAATGGTTTGGGGAACATAATGAAGTGTTCAAAGTGCTGCCCTGGCCTCCATATTTCCCAGATCTCAGTCCAATCAGGCATCTGTGGGATGTGCTGGAACAAGAAGTTCAATCCAGTGGCTCCTTGCTGCTCACAGGATTTAAAGGATCTGATGCTAACATCTTGGTGCCAGATACCACAGGGCAGCTTCAGAGGTCTTGGGGAGTCCATGCCTCGGCAGGTTGGAGTTGTTTTGGTGGCATTTGAAGGAGCATCAGCGTATTGGGCATGGGATGTTTTGGCTCATCGGTGTATGTTGCTCCTTTTAAATTTACCTCCATATAGTAAGATTTTTTGATTTGTAGCTGCCTTATTACGAAAGAGTGGAATCAGAAGTCTTTATATTTTGTCTCATGAAGAGGTGAGGAAATGTTCTGGGGCATTTACATGGAATGCAGTTGTGTTTACATGCAATAAATCTTGCATAACAAAAGCATTTTAACGCCACAGAGTGTGTCTTAAAGCGAATTGACTCATCTTGTGGCATTAATTATATGTTGCTTTTGCAATTCAAGCAAATTAAACATTACAAGAATTCCACAAATCATCTCTTATCTAATACAATTTGGTGTATGAAATTTTGTGACATCAACTGTTCATAGAAACTCTTCTGTTTTTATTTGGCTTTATGCATGTTTGCATGTATTCATTGATCAGTATTCTTCAGTGAGTACAAAGCGTTAATTAGTAGCATGTCTGAACGAGTGCCTAAAGCTCTGTAGATGATAGTTGTATTGCTTAATGATTGCTGTTCTTCTTATCAGGAACCACCAAAAGCTGGCACTCCAGACTCTGACTGCTCTGACCCTTCCTCTCCCAAACACCCCCATTCCGTTAGTATCATGTGATTAACCCACACCTTTTCTTTTATTTTTCCACATCTCTATCTCATTTACTTTTTCTTCACCTTTTCTCTCTCCTTCCTAGTCTAAGCTAATAAACAGATTAAAAAAAAAGTTTCAGGAATATTATGCAGGTTGCCAGAGTTTATTACACGTTATTACTGTAACAACACTTGACAACAGTAACAGTTATTATATACGCTCTTTATTTCAGTTCGGTAGCCTGTTGTCTTGCTGAAAGAAGTCAATCACAGTTATTCATTGCAATATTTAATAAGGGGAGCAGGGCAGTAAGTTTTTGAGCAAGATTATTTTTAATACATGCAGCCTGTAACCTGCATCTCTAATACAAATGAAGAAAGAAACTTTGTTTCCAGCACCAACAGTTTAAGAACAATTCACCTGCAAGTGGCAGGAGTACAAATGTTAACACTAACCCAATGGGTGGGGTTAATTAACAGATGGAGAGGCTAGTTGTAATAGTAGCTTTAAAACTCTGGCTTAATCAATGAAAAACACAAATAATTCATTACAATTCTTTGAACTAGGTGAGCTTTCTAACTTAAATACATAAAAATCTGCATCAAAAATATTGTTTGTGAAATAAAGTGGTAAAAAAAAGTAGAAGAGCATATTAGTATGGTAAAATTGTAATGCATTTTATATATGTGACATCATCCTGGCTAGCCCTCACTGTGAGTTACTTACATTCTTTAAAACAATGCTTTATATCCGTGTGAACTGTTAATCTAAAGATAGAGAAAAAGGTCACTTTTATGGTACAAAAACACTCTCTAGGTTAAATTTTGAGAAATATCGGTACAATTGCGGTCAAAATCTGCAGACGATGTTGCTATGAGAACACGAAAAAGCATGGCCAAAGCATGTTCTCCTTGAACCTGTTCAACTACATACAGTATCCATGTTACATTTTACCCTGTGTTAGCTTGTGCACTGCTGTCTTCGTATCAAAAATCTTTAAAAATCACAATAGAATTATATCATGGCTCAGGGAACAGGCTTTCATGTTGTTGGGCTTCTAGTGATTCCTACCGTTGATGCTAATTGGTTGTTGCAGAAACAATTTGGCCAGAGTGCTGCGTGAAAGGACATTTCAGAACACAGACATAGTTTAATCAAAAAATTAAATATAAGATAAATATGTAGATTCCCTTTACAAGCCAGGCCAGGACATGTTGTTTTTTTTCTGTTGTTTTTTTTGTCCTGTATGATAGCTCATACAGGAATAACAGCATATAGGGCAAGAAACTGTTTCATAGGGTAGGAGTAGGCCTGTCCCAATTATTACATAATTGCCTGACTGAAGTTATTTTAGCTGATTGCAGTTATTTTAGCTGACAGCACTTATTTTCCAAAGTTGGTAGCTTTCACAATCCTGTGTTTATGTCGCAAGAAACAGAATATGAATTGGGTTCAGACAAATTCATGTAAATAAAAGAAAGCCGAAGACACATTTACACATTTAGTCTTACAATAACAAACATTCTAACGTCTGACTGGTGTTATAACACCTTCAAAGAGCAGCGTGACTAATGTAATTTGAGCTTGAGCTGTGTCTGTCATCATTTGGGAGCTACTTAATATCAACAGCTAGGTAGCAAGATGTCTAATTAGCAATCCTGGCCACTTCAAGCTTTTATAGTTGCATACAGTGAACAAAAGAAGACTGTACAGTTGTTAATCAGAATTATTTATGACAGTTAATCATCAGCTGCAATTTCATGATTGTGACAGATCTAGGCAGGAGAGACATTAGACTCCACCAAGCAGATTCTCCTTTTATACACAGACCTTACTGTGTGGATTGCTCAGTTTGTCCACTTTTACATGCTGTTCCCTTATACTTTAGTCTGTTTTTTTCTGGCTGATGCTCTTCACTTCTCTTCACTTGCTGTCCGTACATAAGCTCCTAATATAACTTCATTGTAACGGTTTTGTATCATTCTCCTTAGCCAAGCTCTGAGAAATCTGGATTCCTGAACGTGACCAAGATCACTGAACATGGCAAGAAAGTCCGGTAAGCTGAAGAAGGGTAGAGGAAGCTCACAAAAATGTAAAAAAGTTAATCTGGTTGTTCAAAGTTTACCAATTCACTGTGCTTGAGTACACAATAGAGGAGTTTCTGCTCTACCACAAACAAATATGTTCATGATAACTGGTTTAATCAGATGGAAAAGATGAGTGAAAAAACTGAAATGTGTACTGTACTCCAAAACTGAGTTGCTGGGGGAAAAACTGGGGAATACTGCCAGAACACTGCCCACCAATAGAACAGACTAAAGAACCCTTTATAATCATGATCCACTGTTTATTAGGTTTTGATTGAACTCCTTGCTTTGTGTCCCACCTACAGGAAAAACTGGTCCTCATCCTGGACTGTTCTACAGGGATCCTCACTTATATTTGCCAAGAACCAGGGCACAGCCACCAGCTGGGTGAGTATTAGTCTGGCAAGGCCGTTCAGTGATGCACTGTTCTTCAGTTTGTTCTTAAAGAGCTTAGCTGGCTAAGTTGGGGTATTTTTTCCCTTTCATTTGACAGTTTAGAGTCGGGGACTGTAAAAAGTAAAATAAATCAAATTTTGAAAATAAATAAATAGGTAGGTAATAATAATAATAGCGTTCCACATCACTGAAGCAGATGTGGGAGTAAAACCAGTTACAGTGAGTGAGTGGGAAGGTTAATCTATGTAAAAGAAAAGAACAAAATGGAAGCCCAGTTCAGTACAAGTTGGGTGGTATATTGTCATTTTTAAATTGGCTTTAAAACTACACTACTATTTAATCCAGTAGCAAAGAACAGAATTGCGAATGTCATATGAACTTTACCATCTGAGGCCACTTAGCTTAACCCTTTCTTGTCTGAAGCCATTTCACCTGAGTTTGTCTGCTTCTGTGTTTGTGCGTGTGTTTTTCTTGCATGCATGTTTCTGTGTGTGTGCATATTGTTCTCCAGTTTGGGAGCCACCAGTCAAAGCCAGACTTCAGCATTGACCTGAAAGGAGCAACTGTAGAGAGAGCATCTAAAGACAAATCCAGCAAGAAGCACGTTCTAGAGGTAAGAGTTGATGACTACATTGATGACTATAAGCACTGATGTATGGATGGACTCCCTGGCTTAAAGGGGCTGGCAATCAATTACAAATATTAAATATCGAAATTTCAGTAGTACTAAACATTTGTGACTTTATCACTAACCAAAGTCAGGTTTGGAAAAAATAAATCCCTATCAGTAATTAAAATGTACTGAAAATCTTCTTTGCCTGATCAGGACCGGGTCTGTGTTTGAGACAGTGGTGTAGCCATGGCAGAGTAAGCTACCTTACTGGCTGCAGGCTTTTTTGTTGTTGTTCTTTAAGCTTTTATTTTCTGGCAGAGGTCAGACTCTGAATCTGTGCCAGATAACTGATCACAGAAGTAAAGGTACATTAAACTGTTAAAATGCAGTCAGTGTTTCCACAGGTCTAAAACAAAACTGGGGAGGAGCACCATCAGGGCTGGGGGGGACATTATTTGAATATATGCATATCTTGACTAAGCATGAAATAAGTGAATGTTAAACTTACCATGTTTTTCATTTTTAGACAGTGAAGCATCTCATAGACTTGGCTGAAGTACAGATTTAGGTTGTGGAAATTTTGTTTTGTTTTGTTAAATTATTAATTTTTTTTTTTTTATTTGTTTCCTTAGGTGAAGACTCGGCAGGGTACAGAGCTCCTTATCCAGTCAGACATCGAAACCACAATCAATGAGTGGTTCAAATCACTGACGGAAGCCATAAACACTCATGTAAGAACACAGGCAATTAATTCTCAGTCCAAAATAGTGTGTAATTTTTACAAACATGGCAGACCAGGGCTTGATTCCCCCTCTGTCAAAGCACATTACCTCCATACCAATAAGGGTGCTTTCACACCTACCTATGTTATGACTGCTGTGAACACTTAACTGTGGTCTGATCAAAATCGCTTGTCTCAGTCTGATTCCTAGTCAGCCTTGATTCAGTTCACCACAGTGGGAACGCACTTCTATGGTGGTCTGCACAGAACAAAAGAATTTGCAATTAAGTCTCATTTATACTTAATGTTAAGTACAGATACGCATATGGGCGAAGCCTTCTGTCTGTACCCTGCATTCATTTCATCCATATTTGTGCGCATTCTCTGAAAGTTTACTGATAAGGTTGAAATGGAGCAGTACCACTGGAAACCTTGGGGGGACTGTCGACAGTAGTTTAAGCAAAACACATAATTTTTTCTCATTGGAAATATAAGTGGCAAACAATTCTCCGTCCACATGTCGTGAAGGTTTTAATGGCCTCAAAGACCACCACTGTCTTCAACGCTGCCTCTTTCATCTCTTTGGTAGTTGGTACATTACTAACCTCATCCACCGTCGCCATGTTTGTTATTGTCAGAAACTTTTGACTCTGGACTGCCTCCTGTGGACTTTAAAACGGACATATTCCTTTTCTTACATAAAGGGAGTATAATCGAGCCTTTAGAGCGGGGGTGTCAAACTCAACCAGTGAAAGGGCCATATTAAGAAATCTGATCAAATCTGTGGGCCACAGAAAAAAATGTTTTTCTTTCCTTTTTAATTAATGTTGTGCTACAACCCGAAATGGCCATTGTTTATTCAAAATATGTAAAACACTTCAATGATAAAATACAAACACTTGTAGTAGACCTTGAAATATTACATGGACACTTGAGATATTCGAAATTTAAATGCCCCCAGGTGCTCAGTCTTTTAAACCTACCTATTTACTTGAACTAGACACCTGGCATCCTTTCTTTGCTGTAAGTTCATTAAGACCTGGGCTCAATTTCTGAGCTGCTGAGCTGACGTTAAGTGTTTATGTTGGTTGAACTGCAGCTGAAATGCATTTTGGTGATGTGACTGGTGTGGAATTGCGCAGAATTATGTAGAATTGAGGTGAAACCGCTGTCCCACAGATTGTCATTGCGGTAGGAGAGTCAAAGTATATTACGTTGCAGTGCATGCTGGGGACTGTAGTGCAGCTTATTGTGAAGTGGGCTAGTATTAATTGATATTTAGGTGTCAAGCCTGATTTGGCCCACGGGATTTAGAGCATGTTTCTGCTTCTTCTAGCAGCACATCAGCACCCATACTGTCCGCATAATCTGTCCACGTGAGTCACTGCTGTGTGTGTGTGTGTGTGTGTGTGTGTGTGTGTGTGTGTGTGTGTGTGTTGTGTGTAAAATTAAATCTAAAATATACATACAGTATTATGTGTATATAAACAGTGATCTCACATTTTAACCTGCCTTGCACCTACTGCACTTTGTATTTCGATTATGATGTGAAATTGTAAAATGCAAAGAAGTTAATTACTGGGCACTGATATCTGTACCAGCCATGATAAAATCACGGATAATTAAAAATAATCATATCGGTAACCCAAGGCAACCCTTTAAATACAACTCCTCTCTCAGTGCACAGAAATACTGATATTCAAGTGTTTGTAAATGCATAGAGCAGCAGACACACTGGGCATACATTGTAATTTTTTTTGTGTGTGTTTGTGTGTCCTGTCAGGCCTGGGAGTCTGATGAGGCTATTGAAGAGGACATGCCGGAGTCTCCAGGACCAGAGAAACATGACAAAGAAAAAGAGCACAGAGACTCTAAGAAACTCAGAGGTCAGTATAGTGTTTAAGAAGTGTTCTCCACTTGGTGTGCACTTTAAATAAAGCCACAACCACTTAAAAAGAGTTCTGCCATTCAAGAATGTATTTAACTGTTACAGTCGTATTACAGTCGTATGCAAAGGTTTGAACACCCCTGGGTTAAATTACAAGTTTTGTTGATTTTCTTAGTGAAAACATGTTAACACATCCTCTGTAAGGAACACACTTTTAGTGTACAGTTTCTGTTTCTTAGTTTAACATATTGGGAAAAAATATAAAATGTCATTTTTGCACAGGCCATATTTTATGTTTTATTTTTCTCAATATGTTAAATTCAACAAATAAACAGTAAATGTGTGTGGACGTGTGTTCTCTGTAAAGGTTCTGTTAACGTAGAAAATCAACAATACATGTAATTTGGCCAGGGGTGCCCATTTGTTTTTGCATATGGCTGTATACACAAGCAGGAAGTTTGTCATCCAATCAGCCATCACTGTCACCATGCAGCATTCTGTGTGCACATAATTCAGAGTCTGTGCTCACTAACAGAATTGAAATCTTTAGATTTTAGCCTAAACCTCCCCATTTCATTTTACTTAGATATCATTTCTCATAATGTCTAGCCATGAAGAACTCCACCAGCATGGACTCAACGGAGCAAAAGAAGACCAAGACAAAGCTGAAGAAATTTCTCATACGTAGACCCACTCTTCAGGCGGTTAGAGACAAGGGTTACATCAAAGGTACCACACATTTACATAAACAGGGTGCATATATGTTTACAGTTACATGCAAAAGTCTTCAATGCAAACTGGCTGAGTTATTCTTACTTTATAGAAGTGTGTAATAAAACTTAAAAACCTGAATAAAAAACACTTCTGCACATTTTAATACACAGTTACTGTTTATTTGCTGAATTTAATATATTGGAGAAACATAAAAAATATATATTTTATTTCTTCCAGTATGTTAAACTCGCTGTGTATTCGCAGAAAAATGCCATGTTTAAGTTTGTTCCCTTTTGGGAATGTGTTAACTTTTTTCACTTAGAACATCAACAAAATATAATTTGGCTGGAGCATTCAAACCTTTGCATACGACTGTATATGTTATTTGAATGTGCAGCCTTGCTATCTCCTTTTTTCTGTGTTTAGATCAGGTGTTTGGCTGTAATCTGATCAGTCTTTGCCAGAGGGAGAACACGACTGTCCCTCATTTTGTCAGGATGTGTATCGACCATGTGGAGAATCACGGTACAGTAAAAAGACATAAAATTGGTTTAAAGGCGGGGTCATTGATTTAAGTCTGAACGCAGACTCTGAAAGCAGGAGAAAAAGACAAATAGGCCTCCCCACAGGATGTAAATGTTACAGGGCCACACCACAGAGCTAGCTAAAAGCCTCAGTTGTGATAAGACCTCTTGTGACAAAGATGAAGAAAAAAAAATTCTGCCACTTCCTGCAGTGGCTTACAGTTGTTATGAAGCCAACCTTGTGCTTTACCTGCTAGATTATTTTGCGTGGCACATCGGAAGCAAGCAAAGTGGGCTCTAGGCTTGGAGGGACTCAGTCCACTAAAGGAAAATGGTGCAGTTGTTTGGCTTTTGACTTTCAAAATAGCAAACTTCCACAAAAATCAGTGACCCCACACCTTTTTTATTAAATAAAGAGGGAGTTGTTTGTTTACTCTGACTTGTAGAGGCTTGGAAACACAGTTAACCAGTGTTTAAAACCTTACATACCTGTAATGTCTTGATTTCTCTACCAGAAACTAGAGAAACTTTTTGTTGTTTTTATCTCCTATCTCTTTCCTTCTTTCTGTCTCTGCCTCTCGACTCCTTTTACCTCTCTGTCTGCTTCTCCTTTTACTTCTGATGTCTCTTCCTCTCGGCCTTCAGGTTTGAATTTGGATGGTCTGTACAGAGTCAGTGGAAATCTGGCCATCATACAGAAGCTGAGATTTGCAGTTAATCATGGTAATTTTAACCTTTAACATTTTTAACATTTTCATAGTAATTTAGCAAACCTGTTAATACCCACATGCCTATCACATAACATTTAACTTCTCTTGATAATTGAGAGACAGCCAAGTGTAGCTTTTAGTAGATTATAAAATGACTTCACTGTCACATCAAAACTCCTTTTTTCCTTTGGCTTTATTTTTAACAAAGTTTCTCCTTTTTGTAAAATGTTATTTTTTAGACATTTGAGGCTTTGTTGTCATGGTGAGGATATATTAAATAATGAAAAACAGAATTTTTAAATAATAAAAGTATGTGAAGCGAAGATGTACAACAAAGCTATTCAGTCTATTGGATTGACATGCTTTATGTCAGTAATTGAGACAAACTCTGCTCATATGCTCTGCCCACAGAGATGTGGAGCATCTGATATATACTGTAAACTAAGATGGCCACAACAATCTGGATTTTGTCAGCTGTATTCTGATTGGTTATGTGCACATCCATGTGTTTGCACTTTGGAGTATTTCAGAGCATTTCACTCAAAACTGCTCCAGGGAGAGGGTAATTGAAATAATCTCTGTCTTTCTCTCTCAGATGAGAAGATAAATTTTGAAGACAGTAAATGGGAAGACATCCACGTCGTCACTGGAGCGCTGAAGATGTTTTTCCGGGAGCTTCCAGAACCGCTTTTCACCTATGCACTTTTCAATGACTTTGTTGCTGCCATTAGTGAGTAGAGAGAGTGTGTTGTGTGGGTTAAGAGGGAATGAGAAAGAAACAAAAAAAACAAATGTTTGCATGTTTAAACTAGAGAATATAAGGGAAGAGATTAAGATGGAAGAAAGACTCTCCTGTCTTATGCACGTCTTTAACTTCTTGTGTGAATGTTTGTGTAGAAAACCCGGACTATAAGCAGAAAGCGCAGGCCGTTAAAGACAAAGTGCAGAAGCTGCCTCGACCCAACCACGACACAATGCAGGCGCTTTTCAAACACCTGAAAAAGTGAGTATATTCATAACTAATGTAGACACATGATGATGAAACTGCTGCACACTCTTCAATATGCACAACCTATGGAAAAACGTGCACACACATTTACATATGTGAACACTAGGGCTGGCCCTCATACTTGGAGTACTCAAGTATTCGTTCATTACGTTGATAATTAATTCTGTTATTAAATTTAGCAAGCTTTGTCTTTTTTCAACCCACAAAAATTATTGTTTTTATCAGAAAAGGCCTTTAGATTGAACAGTTAAGTCAGCAGTATACTTAAAATGATTAAAGACTCAAACGACATAGAATCACCGCTGTATACTGTTGTTAATGTACTTAAAAAGAACCATGTGTACGTCTCAGCACTGCTAATAGTCCCACTTCATGCAATGGAGCAATCGCAGTCTGGGGCTGAAATCAGCTTGTTCTGGCAGTGAGGAGGCATTGCTGCCATCATGGGTGCTCCCAAGCAGAGAAGTCTGGCGTGGGGCTTAAGTTTATTCTAGCCAGTGACCCTTTAGACCACAGACCATAAGCTGCAATCTGCAGGATGGAAGTGATCACAGTCCCTTTTTAACAGTCCCTTTGCCTTGCATTGTGTCCTGTGAGCTCGGTATCAGGTCCAAGGACAGGCTGCACTAGCCAAGTGGAGTACCTGCTGAGTTGCTTCCAGGGTGGTCCTCCTTCTGTACAGCTGACCCCGTAGCACCAAAAGCCCCTTCAAACCTCTGCTCCACTCTCTGTAGCTTTTCTCCGACTGAGCTTAGCTCAGCCTGCGTGTCACCCTCACTGCTGCTTTTCATGATAATAAACCAGGAAACTAATCAAATAAAGTAATTTGATAAAATAAATCTAAACTAGAGCTAAAACCATGATCGTGATCAATAAAATGCTAATTCCAATTACACTCTTTGCACCTACAGTCATAAAAACTGTATTTGAACATTAGGGCAACATCCGTGGTTTCTGTAGCAACATACAGTGCACAGGCAGCTGGGCTTCAATTAAATAGAATAAATAATAGGCCAGACACATAATAATATAAACATGGGATTTTGAAATGATTTATTCAGTATATCATGTATTTTGGGACCAATTTGATATGATAATAAATGCTAAATAATATAATTATGGATTTACAGTAATTTGTCATCAAAGAATTCATCTCGAGACTAAATCACCTTTTCAAATATGAAGCGAAGTTGATATTAATTGTGTTACGGCATCCTTAATTGTGCTATAGCATCTTCCACAATACTGCACAACATTCTCAGTCATTTTGGCAACATCTACATCTCCATTCATATTTTTTTCTGACATGTCTAAAATGTCTTAACTGTTGATTAGATCTTCAACCTGATCTTAGGTTATTACTGATTCCAGACTTCTGTGCAGTGATTTCTAACTTTTGATCAATAGTTGATGACAGTAATGTGTTTGTGTGTACAGAGTGATAGAGCATGGTGAGAAGAACAGGATGACCACGCAGAGCGTCGCGATCGTGTTTGGCCCAACTCTTTTGCGTCCTGAGGTCGAGACATTGAACATGGCGGTACACATGGTATACCAGAACCAAATTGTTGAGCTTGTTCTACTCGAGTATGACACCATATTTGGCAGGTAAGCCACACCCACAGCAATCAGCTGGCCAAACATGAGGCAACAGTCACCAACGAGGAGTATTTTCGAGAGGATGACCTCGTCAATAATGCATTGAAAACACTCCGCACTTATTGATGTTTAGATACAAAGGATCCATTTAAAGCAAGCCCAACTGATTCTGGGGGAGGAGGACCATCTGACTTCAGCAATCTACTTACTAAAGAATACTTACTTCCATTTTTCCCTTTATTATTTGGACCAATTTACTTTTGCGAACTGCTGCCCTCGATTGGAATTCAGTTTTTGATGGATAATAGCTCTTACTGGACTGTACTGTCTTTTTTTAAACCACATTTGGATCATCCACATTCCATAACTGGACCTACAAGGCTTTCCATGCCATTTTGCTTGCTAGACTGAAACTTTTTTTCTTTTTCAGCTGAGAATTTGAGACTTTTACTTGTTGATAAGGCTCAAATGCACCCTGAACTGGCATTGACTTCTATTACTGTTATGCAGTTTACTTTCGTTTTGCCATAATATACAATATAGCCTGCTGTATTTTAGAATGATAAACCCATTGATCAGTAGCTTTCATATCAGTACAATTCAACTTGGAATGAACCATTACTCTGTGACCTCTGTGGCGGTTTCTAATGTACATTTGAATGTTCACACAGTTTGAGGTAAAACAGGAGAGTTGACCACTGCTCACACTGGACTTAATGGACAGTCAAGGACAAAGTATTTTCTCTCTTACACACACAAACTGTTTCTGACTTGGCTGGGTTTGTCTTAACTTTCAAACACCAGTTTTACAGGACCCTTCAGTATGTTACAGATGTATTGTGTGTGGCTATGTACATGTGTGTCTATGTGTGTATGTACAATATTGGGCAAAAGTCAGAGACCACCCTTCACTTATGTCATTTCCAGTTTAAACTGCCATTTCAGGTTATTTATTTTTCAGCTTTAGGAAGAAAGCAGGAGAGATAATTGTTCACACCTCCAAAGTTCAGTCTCAGAAGCTGGTTGCATTGTCTGCTTATCAAAATCCAAGTAATCCCAAATACACCACAGTGCTCTGGGGTGGTCAGTCCATTGTTCTGAAAACACCAGCAGCATCTTTGGTTTGCAAGTTTTCTTCTTTTTTCTCTATTTCCTTTTCTCAGTAACAGCTTCTTGACAGCTACACATCCTCTTAGATTCATATTGTTAAGTCGTCGTCTCATATTGGAAGGATGGACGGAAACGCTTGTGGATTTTTTTAGATCGAAAGCAAGAGTGGAGCTTCTCTCTCTCAAACATGAAAGCTTTAAGTACTGTTTATCTGATGGTGACAGTTTTGGTGGTCTAGGATTCTCTCTGTATCTTTTAATCATTTTTTGAGCTCCTGTTTTAGAAACTCAAGTTTATTTCACATATTTTCTTTGACTTTCTGCTTCCTTATGCAACTGGATTACATTATATCTAATCTCCCCAGAAATATAACTTGTGCTTAACAGCCTTTTTGACTGAAAATTAATAAATGAAGGATGATCTCTGACATTTACACAATATTGTATGCATATTTATGTGTGGTGTCTCCTGAGAATTCACTGGAAAACGAATCCTGCTTATTACCCCAAAGCACTGAATGTGCACAGATCAAAGCAAATCTCAGGTCCTCTTTTCATAAAGCTACATATTAATCACAGAGCCAAGCTCTGAAAACACTGTACAGATCACAGAATAACATGGGGACAAAACAGAGTCAATGTAAGACATTACACTGAAAGCGGTGTAAGCATTTGCTGGTACTTGAAAACTGGGATTGTGTTGTACAGACGCATCTGATGGTGTTGAGAAACTGTGGTAAGAGATAAAACGGGACACAATTGCTACTGATGTATAAACATAAAATAGAGACTGATTTATTGAAAAAAGCTAAACCTTTTAAAAAAAACTGCAAGTGGACATTTGTTGAATGTAATTTTCGAACTGCTGTACGTGATGCTACTTGATGTCTGTATTGGAATAAATTTGACAAAGCAAGTTATTAAGGGTTTTGTTTAAATGGCATCAAAATTATTATTTTTTTTTTTTTTACATTTTTTTCTGCATTTTGATCAACTACATTCCGTAACTGAAAGGTATTGAAAGTACTAAAACTGGAACTGGACTTGGTAGTAGTGGTAGAAGAATGCTGTTAAATATATTTTTCCTAACTGCTGTACATGATGCTTGCTTTGTCTGAAAGTGGAATAAAGTTGTTAAGGCAGGGGGTTAGAGTTTTTGTTTATATGGCATAATATATAATAAATTGATATACCACTCATCCATTGCCATATCATATTTTGTTAATTATAATGTGCCTTTTTAAAAGCCCACCCTTGCATCTTGTCCAGCAGATGTTAATGGTGATTGCCACAGAACACTGCAGCCAATGGAATGAGTAAATAGAATAGACATGTACACATTTGGACAGTAGAGCTTTGAGAGCTGCTGTAAAGTCGTCATCCATGTTGAACAAAACAGTAGTATTTTAATCAGGCCTGCAATTTTGGTTAGAGATACAATACAATACAGAATTTCTGTCAAACCAGTCCAACCGGACGTAACGCACAGCATTGCATTTTGAATTTAAACCCGAGCCAGATAAAGGTCTGTTTAAATCTAACCCAACCATATTGTCAAGTTTTGGGTCTGAATCTGACCCACAACAAAATTCTGCTTGAAACTGACCCGAACCCAGCCCATCATCAACCAAAGTGATGACAGCTTTTTAAGTTACTTGCAGCAACAATAATAGCCGTCAGACAAATGGAATTGAAAATTAAATAAATTAAAAATGATCTAATACATTTAGCATCTGTCCAAAATTAAGGTATTCTTGGAGCAATATTTCTGAACATCCCAATGTTTTTAGTTCAGTGCAAACTTTCCATACTGTGCTGCTACAACATATTAGAAGGGGTGTCTACAAACCTTATGATATACAGCAAGGGTGTCCAAACGTCTTTCAAAGAGGGCCAGATTGTACCGTGTCAAAATACTTGAGGGCCAACATATTGTTCACAAATGAAAATATTAAGTTTTCAAAATGTCAGCACATAGAATAAGAGCTTTCTGTGTGCTACCGTGTTTACTATCACAGTATAAAAGATGCACAAGTCTTATTTTGTTCTTGTATTGCTCAGAGTATAAAAAATAATAACACTGAGTAACAATGAAACATGTATAATGTATTAATTATATTCCTGTTCAAGTGTTTACTTGTTCAAAAATATCATTAGACAAACTAACCCGAAAGTGTACAAGTTTTTTCTGTTAATGTTATTTACATATCAAATAAATGCAGCAACTGCATTCACAAATCACTTTATTAAGTGAACAGATTAAACTGCATAAACAGCCATGTTTTTCTTCAACCATAAACACTGACATTTACTGAACTACTGAATTTGCTCTGATAAGTTGATGCTGTGAGACTCAGATAGTTTGCAGCTGCTTTAGTTCCTCTGTCCTCTCTGAATATTTATTGTAATGTCCATGCTTCGTTTCATGTCTACTGATATTATATTCATTGCGGTCTTTTCACAAATGAGGCACATGCATTTGCTGTGGCTCTCGATGACAAGAGTATTCAAATTTCCATCTTGGAGAATCACCAGTTCTCAGTGTTAAGTTTGTGATTTAAGGCTGTAGTCTTAACTAAATGTCATTCAGTTAATTAAGCAGCAGGTCTAGTTAGAGTAGAATACAGTAGAATATATAGGATCAGTTTCCCAGATAGTGATTAAGTCTAGTCCTTGACTACACAATGTCTGAATGAAAATCTCTACTGAAAAGAAAACGTAGTCCAGAGCCCGTATTTATGAAGCTTGTCACAGTAGGACTGCTGATGTAGTATCTGCTTTTGTCTCAACAGTCGTAGTATGTAAGAGAATCTGGGCCTATATCAGCACTTATACTCTGAGAGCCTTTGTGAATACGAGCCCAGGAACTAAGCTTAATCACTGACCAGGAAACTGACCCATAGGGTACCTTTTGGTCAACTACATCACCAAATGCCAAACCTGCTTGTCTTCATTCTGTTACTGGACAGTAAGATCCTCTGGTGATGGTCTGTGTTTATAATGACATGCATTTACCCCGTAAAATGTTTTAGGAACTACAAACTTTTCAACTTTTCTCATTCTGAAGTTCTCACTGCAGCATCATTAGCTCTGTCTGGGCTGGAGTAGTTTTACCTGAAGAGATTCTCTAATGTAATCTTTAAGGGATTTGACTGTTGATTCAACAGGGCTAAGTATCTGTGTAATTTCCCCAAATGGACTGGATGTCAGGGTTACGCAAAAGACCCCCTTAATGTCCCCCCCTAATCATCCTTCCCTACATAGAAAGAATAGGTGCACCTATCTAGTCAGTAATCATTTAACTTAATATAATTCCTGAGGTGAAACAATTCCAACTCTAATAGTGCCTTAGTTTGTCCACCAGAGGGCAGAAAAGTCCACATAAGCATAAATGCTGTAACCTTGCTAAGCACCATAGGAGGTTAACACAGGATTTGGCTCCTGCTGCTAATTATTTTAGAATATTTTAATCCTCTTTTTACATCAGTACTTTTTGCTATTTTAATTTTCTAATGAACACTGTGCATCGGTGCATTATGTAAAATGTTGGGGTAAAACTGCGCCTCACAGTCCCTTTGTCATTCTTGCATTTCTCTATTTTCTTCATAAAGACAGGCCAGCAGGTACAGAGGCTTACCATTTAAATTTCCCTCAAGTGCACCCATTCATGAAAACAGCTGCTGTGCCCACCTTCCTTACTTGGAAACTTGAATTATAAAGGATGAATCAAGCAACTCTGGCAAAAATGAGTGGCTGATTTGGACACTGTGCAACTTTATGCAGAGAAACATTGTAATCTTGACCAAAACCACATCTGATCCTCTGCTGAACAATGTGATCATTTCTGCTAATGTGCTTTGTATCTTGCTTTATATTGTTAGGTGGTTTAATATTTTTCTCTCTTGGTTGTATCCAATTTCATTTAAGTGAAAAAACTACAAATCAATACCCTGAAGGAAGTTTCAGAGCAGGGCAGGCCAGAGAGACACAGATGTTTGATTGTTGGGAGTGGACTTACACATAGAAATATTAGTGATATGACCAGAAAAGTGCATTTCCTGAAGATAAAGCAGAGAGATTAGGGCAGCTTGAGCTTGAGCAGCTAAGATGTTCCTAGGCGGTGTGATGTTTTACCATCATACAAAAACAGTATGCCTGATCAAAAAGCTGTATACAAGAACACCATTCCTGATGAGACTGAACACTGTGGAGTTGGAACGGTGTCAATATCATGACAATTGTGGAATGAGTTCACAAGAAAATATCTGTCAGAAAAACAAGAACAAGAATAATAATAATAATAAACCATCACATAACAACAGTGTTGTGCAATCACTAATTAATACCACATTTATTAGAGAAATATTGTGTTTTCCCCTTATACGTCAGCTGTTATTCTTTTCAAAAACTTGTCATATCCAAAATTATTATGAATGTACAGTGTTTTGGAATGAAGCTCTTCATATTATTTTAAGTATGTTAAGTTTTATTAACAAAAAAGTGCAATATTAGAAAATAAAATGTTAAATCTAACTCATTGTCTGCAACACAGATTTAATAACATACAGCTAAGCAGTTCCAAGCTGTTTCTTTCCTCTGAACTGAAAGGCGAGGCAGAGCGCCTTGTATATGAAGAAACTATTAAATTGTTTAAAGAATATAGTTTTTCCACATACTGGCAACATGTAAAAAGGTGAGGATGTGTTAACTACATGTTTCATCTTTTTGGGCTCATGACCCATAAATGTTACACTGAAGTCACTAAAGACAAAGTTTATGCACCCCTGATGCAAAAAAGATGGTCATCGCTTAAAGAGAGATTTTTATTCTTAAAGAAGCTCCAGTTTTACACAACAAACACTTCAGAACTTTAAGTAACAGCATTTCAACGAACACTGAAGCTGTTCTGAAGGCAGATGGTGGTTTTTACTCCAATATATTAATATATTATTCGGTATCTCAGCCCAGAATAAACAGATTGTCTTTTTATAATTCTAGTAACACATTGCAGTTGCTGTATAATGTGCATTATGGGAAAAACAAATGAGCACCTGCTACTTCTGTGTGATGGTCAAAGATAATGTTGTCACAACAAAACCTTGAATGCAAAAGAGATGCATTAGTTGTAGTTGTTGTAGTTTTTCTTCTTTTTTACTTTATTGCTGTACATTGTATTAAACGTGCATGAATGGACCAGAAGAAATGGTCCAAAATACTTGAAAATAAATCTTGTTACATACATTAACTTGCATTAAAAGTTACGAAGGTTTTTTTTCCTTATGTTACTGTTACCATTTTGGACAATTCCAATTCTTCTAATAAAAGCATAAAAAATACATGCTGTACAAATAGAACTGAACGGGCGTTATTAAAAAGCTGAACCACAAATATTAAAATGACTAATGAATGAGTACTATTTTGAAAATATAGAGGTGACTTTTAATTTAGATTTTCTGCAAGGCAGATTGTAAACTTCACCAACAGTGGCTACTCATTTCTGTGTTTTATATTAGAATTCCATGGATAATATTGATCTTTTAATCCTTTTTCTATTGCAGTTAACAATTTATCATTCAAATCTCAGCTTCCTCACTAAAATGTATTATGATGGAGGACGTGGGGCTGTAGAGAAGAAAGAAATCCAAAAAAGGGGACACACTGTCATCTTTGTTACACCATGTGAAATTGTGAAGGCACAACTTTGATCATGCAAACTGAATCGAATATGAGCCACTGTTCAATACTAGTTCAGGAAATCATGTTGAATATTTATTCACAGGTTTGAGGTTCAGCTTTATGTTGAAGAAATAATGTGAATTCAACAAGCAAACTGGGTGGACAAATAAATGTTTGCGTTTGAAGATGTTTGTTATTTACATTTCTGTAAATCCTGTAATTGGGCTTCAATTCCTTCATGGCATTGATTTTCATACTAAAATTATATTACTGTACTGAAAAATATCCTATTGTACCAAGTAAATACAAAGTGTATTAACACTGCACACTACATGTGGAATAATAAACAACCATGAAGAAAAAAATAATGAACAAATCATCATCAAAGACTTTTTTTTAATACTGATGGTAAAAACATACACAATATACACGTGCATTAATATAAACAAACATTTAGAAATAAAACTTCACAATGAATAATACTGTAATGTGTTATGGTGAAATCAACATTAAAATCACATTC